CACAAAACAGTAACAATATGCGACTATATTTGGACTCATTTAATACTTGCGATTTTTTAAAATCGGAAAATCTCCTTAGACAATTGATATATATACATATAGATTGAGTGAACAAAACTCAATTATTATAAGTTTTTCAAAGCTTTAAATCACATTCTTTGAACACAATAATATTATTAATTCTAAATCATTCTTAAGCTTAACATGTTGGGTTAGAAGAAGGATTTGATTTCTTGTAAATTTCCAAACAAAGTTATCAAATCAATGTTTTAAACTCATATACTAATAGGGATACTCTAGAGTATAGTTATGCTTGGTTTTTAGTGATTGGTATCAATAGTTTTGATCTGTAATGCCTAGAATCCAAAAAAACAATTTGTGACTTAAATCTTAGAGTCACTAGACAGTAACAATTTGTGACTATATTCGGACTTATTTAATATTCGCTATTTTTTGTATTCGGAAAATCACCTTAGAGAATGTTATATATACATATATACTTTGATTGAATAAAAATCAATCATTATAAGCTTTTAGCTTTAAATCATATTGTTTGAACACAATAATATCATTAATTACAAATCATTCTTAAATTTTACATTTTGGTTTAGAAGAAAGATTGGATTTTTCAAAAATATTTAAATACAAAGTAATCAAATCAATGTTTTAAACTCTTATACTAATAGGTATCAATAGGGATACTCTAGAATACAGTTATGATTTTTTTTTAGTGATTGGTATCAATAGTTTTGATCTGTAATGCCTAGAATTTTTGAAAAAAAACAATTTGTGACTTAAACCTAACAGTGATAAGACAGTAACAATTTGCCACTATATTCAAACTCATTCGATACTCGCGATTTTTGGATGGTGAATTTTGGGCTTTTATTTTGGGCGGTGAGTTTTGCCCCTTTTTATATATGTATTTTTAATGGATTTGGGCTTTGGTTTGGGCGGTGAATTTTGCCTCCAATTTTGTTTTTGTTGTGACTCGTTTGCGACCTATTAAGGACTCCTTCTCGTTAATTACTATGTAAACACTTAGTCGATTTCTCATTATGCGGGACTTCTCTTTCTGGATTTTGGGTTTCACTCTCAAAACCTCTGAACTCTCTTCTCTTCTCAAATCGATTTCTCTCCTCAATCTCCCCTCAGTCTCTTCTGAATCTCTCCTCGATCTCTTCTCAATCTCTCCTGGATCTAACGGCGACAAAGGGTAATTCTACACGGGGTCGCAGTGGCAAATCTCAATCAGGTTCGAGGGTCTTCACTAGTCCGGATACGAAGCCAAGCGCTAGTAAGACTTAGAGGGTGAATCGTCCGAATCCTCTGAATCCAACCAATGGTAGGCGTAAAAGGCAGATCCTTTGAACCCAAGCAGAGGCTTGAGTCAAAATCCTCCGGATCCAGCGGTGGTTTGATTAACCCTCCATTGAATCCAAGTGTGAGTCGGACTATGAATAATAGTCGCGGAGGTGGGAGCAGAGGAGGAAGGAGTGGTGTCGGAGTGTCTTCTCACTCCTCTAGTCAATCAGAGACACAATCTATGATCCAATCACATAGAAGTCTTCCATCCTAGTACCTGCCGAGGACACAACCTCTTCCTGCTCCTTAACCACCGTCTCCTGTTATTCAACAACCGCCTTTTGCTCCTCAAAATGACAAAGAGGAAGATGACGAAGAAACAGATGATGACGACAACGACATACCAATCCAAGAAGATGATGAAGAAGAAGAAAATCCAGACCAAGACTACCAAGAGCTGTTAGATTGTTTGCTTAATCTTCAAGGCCGCCAACATTTACTTTTTCTGTCCAAGGTTCCTATCCCAGGCGTTGAAACTCTCTGGTAATTTCGCTCTCTCTCATTCTCTCGCTCTCCTTCTCTTCCTATTGTTGATGTGTTTAGAGCACTGCTAGACATTGATTTGTGATTTATGATTGTGATTGTGCTAGAGTTTAGAGCACTCTCTAGTTACACTAGTTCTTGTGATTTTTGATTGTGATTGTGCGAGAGTTTAGATCACTCTCTAGTTACTTTAGTTCTTGTATTTGTGATTGAGCACAGCTAGAGATGGATCTTTTTCTTGTATTTGTGATTGAGCACTGCTATAGTTTGTCTTTATAGAGACTAGTTCTCTATTTTTAATATAGGTTTAACATGCATAAATATAAACTACCTCGGGCGATTGCTGAAGTATTTAGGAGGAAATTTGATGGTCCATACTTCAATTGGAAGGTTACTATTTTTAGCATCCAAGAGAGATATTTCAGGAGTTTCGCGGTAACAATTTCACTTTTATCTTTCAAATTCTTATTGTTACTCATTTACTAATTATCCGTGCTAACTTATCTCTTTAATTTGTACCATGTAGAGGATGTTCTATTAAGATCATGGGCTTACTGAGGCTGTTAGAGAGGGGTTCAAAATGTTAGCCCAAAAGCGTATGAAGGGCATTGTTAGTGAAGTTAAGAGGAGTGGTGTACAACCTCTTTGGATTCGTGGTAAACTTTGGGATCGGATGTGGGTTCATTGGAACACCAGTCGTGTAGTGGTGAGGAGTGAAAGTGCTTCACAATGAAGAAAATCCAATTGTGGCGATCTTGGTCTCTACAGATATGCATCCGACAGAAATCGTTTGTGCAAGTTTACGAAGAATTGGTAACATTCCTCTGATTTTTATCCAAACAATTCACTATTCTTATATATTAATTACATGATTTTAATGTGTTTCAATTTCATTGTAGGAGGACATATATGGGCGCCCTGTATAAATTGGGGAAGTGTTTATGAAAACACATACTCGAAGTGGACCTGATCATGTCAAACCACTCGACCCCCTGGTCGAGTAGACGCTTCACGACCTCAATAGACCACTCGACCCCCTGGTCGAGTAGAAGACTTCACTACTTCACTTCACCACTCGACCGCCTGGCCGAGTACCACCATGAGAGTCACTCGACCACCTGGTCGAGTATCATCACCTCCACCACTTGACCATCCCTCGATCACGCCACTCTACCACAAAGTCGAGTATCACCATCACCATCACTCGACTACATACTCGATTGCCAGCTTCAGAGTCTTCTCCATTCCGCACTCAACCAGACACTCGAGCACAAGGAAGAAAAGAAGACTCCAGCTTATCACTCGACCACTCACTCGACCACCTGGGTCGAGTACCGTTCTTAATCCGTCCCACTACTGCGTCGTTTTGAGTGTTAGGGTTTTGGAATATTTCGCTATAAGTAGCATGTATTTTACATTTTCGTTTATCTAAGTTTTATTCCGCAGACACTTTGTTCTTGACATTTTGTAATCCGGATTTCTTTTAATCTATTCAGTATTCAACATTTTGCTTTTGATTTCGTTTACTGTTGTTCATCCTGTTATCATCATGCTATTACTCTGTTGTTATCATGTTTTCATTCTATTCAACGTTTATGTTCTCTACAATGATGTCTGAGTAGTGAATAGGTTTCTGAGGATGGGTTAGAGTAGTTTAGGATTCTCAGTATGCTAGGTGGTTGAGTTTGATTTATAAATCCCTTCTGGATTAGTTGTTCTTAATGCCTATTGCTTTCTGATCAACAGGAATTTGAGCCCAGACATTTCCGCGCCCAAAAGGTGTTCGATGAAATTTCTGAACCACTAATTCCAGAGATTCGTGGCTCTGTACCAAGGTATTGGTTGCACAGAGCGTTTTGGCTTTAACTTATTGATTCGTAATGCCTGTTAGGTTAGCTCTCGTCAATGGTGATTGAGTCTGGGACTGGTTTAACTTGAGGGTCTCTATTGCGGTGGCACTTAGATTTGGTTACCGAACTTGTTGTCTAGGGATAATTTATTGAGCATGTTAATCACCTGTAAACTGAAGAAACGAAACTACTCAATTACCCCATCCTTGGGAATTCTTTATCTGATTGATTTTTTGTTTACTCTACTGTTGTTTACTACGTCTTGTTACATGTTGCTTAGTTTCTGCAAATCTTTCCTGTTACTCGCCCTGATACTCGACCACCCAGTTGACTGGCAACAGACTGTGCAGTCGAGTATCTTTGTTTCATTTACTGCCTGTTACTCGACCAGTCACTCGACCTCACCCAGTGCTCTGCAAAGAGCTTTGTTTGTAGAGTGTTTTATTGTTTCTGCTTGAATTTCTGTTTTCTACATGTTCACTTAGGACTCCTAGAACACGTCAAAACCTGTTATTGTTTGGCTTGACTTAGTGACTTCTGATCACATCTTGATTGTTAGCATCACACCCATTTGGATTGACAACCTAAAATACTACAACGACATGATTGGTGTTTAAGGATAATTGACTAAAACCTATTATCCATTTGGCGCCTTTGCCAATTGGGTGTTTCTTTGTTACAATTAAGATTTCAGACTTGCTTAGATCAAGTTCTTTTTCAATTTTCATTTTAGTTACTAACTAATTTTTTTTTTTTTGTTGTCTTCTTGCTCCAGGTACACCTCTGCTGTATGTAAACTCGATCAACAGGCAACCAGAACCTCCTTTTCGATAACATCGACCTTATCGCTCGCAAACTCAGATAAAGAAGAAACACAGTCAACCTTTTACCCCAGCAACTACTCAAAATGGCTGACAAACAGAATCAGCAGAATGGTCCTGCCAACATCGGTGCTGGAGATGCACCAAGGGACCATCGTCAGAGGAAAGGAATTGCACCTCCTGCTATCAAGAACAACAACTTCGAGATTAAGAGTGGTCTCATCTCGATGATTCATGGGAACAAATTCCATGGTCTGCCAATGGAGGATCCACTCGACCACCTTGATGAATTCGATAGGCTCTGCAACCTAACAAAAATCAATGGTGTCAGTGAAGACGGATTCAAGCTCCGGTTGTTTCCATTCTCCTTGGGCGACAAAGCACACATCTAGGAGAAGAATCTGCCACATGACTCAATCACCACCTGGGATGATTGCAAGAATGCTTTTCTAGCAAAGTTCTTCTCAATGCCAAAACTGCAAGACTCGGAAATGAGATCTCTGGCTTTTCATAGATGACTGGTGAAAGCTTCTGTGAAGCATGGGAGCATTTCAATGGTTACACCAACCAATGTGATATGGTTCAAATTAGCTAGAACTACTCTCTCAAATAAGAGATTAATTGCAGTAATTTAAGATCGAATCACGGAGTTCTTTTGTTTAAACAATGAGTTAAATGTCGAGATTAAGCTAGTAGGGTGTAAGTGAAATAGTAAGTAAACAAAGCAAGAAAACAGCAAAATTGATTGTGTTGTGAACGTTTAGAAAAAGAGCTAGGAACAGGGTATTCTCAGGAAACTATTGGTTAGTAGATCTAATGAAAACTAGGTTGTTATCGAACCATTCTTAAACTCAAACTCTAATTATGGAATAACCGGTAGGCGTGCCGCGAAACTCTCTATACCTATAGCTAATAATAACCGGAGAAGCCGAGAAACTATCAACCTAAATATGCATTCTTAACGAGTTCAATTGTTCATCATAGTAGATAGGCCGATTCTTATTACACACCTATAAACCAGACTCATCAAATAATAGATCCAACTACAGATACCTATGGCGGGCATATCTATTGTCTAGATTCAAGATCTAGTTAATTACTCTAGATCTAGCATTAAACATAATTTTTTTTTTTTTTTTTTTTGGGCAAACATTAAACATAATTAAAGATGAAGAATTCTACAGATAACCTAGCAAAGTGGACAATCTACTAAACCATATGAATCCCTAATGAGAAACCCTATTCCTAACAAGCAGATTACTCAGACATATTGAATGAAGCAAACAACATATTCGAGTGTGAAAGCATAAACACAGTAAGTAGAGAAGGGGAAAGAAGGGATCTCTTCACTGTATTAAGATCTGAATAAAACTTTGAAAAACAATCGATGAATAGCTTATGTCTCTTAGTAACAGGGATTTGCAAAAGCTTGATAAAAGACTTGATAAAAGAAACTTAGGTCTAAAAACAATATATAAAACCCTAAAAACGTCCAGGGACTAATAATACAAATAAGGAAGTCTTCTGAGGCAAATTTCCTCTTATGTAAACTTGAAAGCGTCATGGACTTCTGCTGGGCCGAAACTGGTGTCGATCGATACCAAGAGTGTGTCGATCGACACTCCTCGCTGATTCCTGAACCAAAATCGTCCTTAGCTTCCTTTTTCTTAGCTTTTGCTCCAAAATGTCTCTTTATCTCCATTGTTGTCCCATTGCATAGAATACCTGAAAAGACACTAAAAAGACTCGAGAAATAACATAAAGACTCAAAATCCTATACCTAAAACATAGATAAAATGAGTGAAAATTGGGTTATATCACAATGCCCTCATCATGGCTTCAAGAAAGCCTCTCTGCTCAGCACTCTTTACAGAGGAGTTCTACCACGCATCAGAATGCTTCTGGATACCGCCAGCAATGGGAATTTCCAGAACAAGGATGTTGAAGAAGGCCGGGAATTGGTTGAGAACCTTGCTCAATGAGATGGTAATTACAACGAGGACTGCAATAGGACCATCAGAGGCACAGCTGATTCCGATGACAAACATAGGAAGGAGATCAAAGCACTGAACGACAAGCTGGACATAATTCTACTTAGCCAGCAGAAGCATGTGCACTTCCTTCTTGATGATGAGCAGTATCAAGTCCAAGATGGGGAGGGTAACCAGTTAGAAGAAGTTAGCTACATCAACAACAACCAGAGTGGCTACAAAGGGTATAACAACTTCAAGACCAACAACCCCAACCTCTCCTACCGCAGCACCAACATTGCTAATCCACAAGACCAACTGTATCCTCCACAGCAACAACAAGGTCAGAACAAACCCTTTGTTCCCTACAACCAAGGTTTTGTTCCCCAGCAGCAATTTCAAGGGAACTTCAGCCGCAACCACCACCTGGGTTTGCACCTCAGCAAAACCAAGGTCTTGCTGCTCCTGATCCTGACATGAAACAAATGCTACAACAGTTGCTTCACGGGAAAGCATCTGGCTCCATGGAGATAGCTAAGAAAATATCTGAGTTACACAATAAGTTGGACAGTAGCTACAATGATCTAAATGTCAAGGTGGAAACACTGAATACCAAAGTCCGATACTTAGAGGGACATTGCATCTTCTTCAGCTCCAAAACAGATAAGCCAACTTCCAGGCAAAGCAATTCAAAATCCAAAAGAATATGCTCACTTCCAACTTGAGAGGAACTAAAGACAGTCACTGAGGACAGTGAAGATCAAGATGGGGAGGATTTCAGTCTCGGTAAAGATCGAGCTGACAAACCACTCGAGCAGCCACTTGACCAGACACTCGAGCAACCACTCGAGCAGCCACTCGACCACGTTACTCGACCAAATACTCAACCAACCTTCCTAGCAACATCACCAACTGCTCCAAAACCAGTTGTTGTCAAGAACATAGAAAAGGTCTTTGTTCCTCCTCCTTACAAACCACAACTTCCATTTCCTGGCTGTCACAAGAAAGCCTTGGCAGATAAGTATAGAGCTATGTTTGCCAAGAACATCAAGGAGGTTGAGTTGCGGATACCTCTTGTTGACGCTCTAGCGCTAATCCCGAACTCTCACAAGTTTCTGAAAGATTTGATCGTAGAGAGAATTCAAGAAGTGCAAGGGATGGTAGTATTGAGTCATTAATGCAGTGCTATCATACAAAAGAAGATCATTCCTAAGAAGCTTAGTGATCCTGGTTCATTCACTCTACCATGCTCTTTAGGTCCATTGCCTTTCAACAGATGCCTATGTGATTTAGGAGCATTAGTCAGTCTCATGCCGCTCTCTGTTGCCAAAAGATTGGGGTTCACTCAATACATATCCTGCAATATATCCCTTATCCTAGCTGACAGGTCAGTAAGGATCCCTCATGGTTTACTCGGATACCTACCAATCAGGATTAGAGCCGTAGAGATACCAACTGACTTTGTAGTCCTGAAGATGGATGAAGAGCCCAAGGACCCTTTGATTCTGGGGAGGCCTTTCTTAGCAACTGCAGAAGCTATGATTGATGTCAAGAAAGGGAAGATTGATCTAAACCTTGGCAAAGACTTTAGGATGACCTTTGACGTCAATGACGCGATGAAGAAGCCTACTATGGAAGGGCAACTCTTTTGGATCGAAGAAATGGATCAGTTAGCTGATGAGTTACTGGAAGATGGGTTTCTGCATTTGGAAACTTTGGGATACCAGAAGCTGTACTCCCATAAAGCAATGGAAGAATTACAACCTTCTGAGGAATTGAATGGACCAGCAACATAGGTAATGGTAATGAGCGGAGAAGGGTCAACACGAGTTTAACCTGCACACTCGAGAACATACTCGACCAATGACTCGACCTCGACTGTCAGCGACTCTGGAGAGCTGATCATTCCAACTTAAGATGACTGGTCTGAACTCAAGGCACTGAAGGTTGATCTCAAACCACTTCCTAAAGGTCTAAGGTACGCATTCCTTGGTCCAAACTCTACTTACCTTGTGATCATTAATGCTGAGTTAAATGATGATGAAGTGAACCTGCTATTATCTGAACTTAAAAAGTATAGGAGAACAATTGGCTATTCATTATCTAACATTAAGGGAATTTCACCTAGTTTATGCAACCATAGGATCCACCTTGAAAACGAATCCTATTTTAGCATTGAACCACAGAGGAGGTTAAATCCCAACTTGAAAGAAGTAGTGAAAAAAGAAATTTTGAAACTGTTTGATGTTGGTGTCATCTACCCTATATCTGATAGTACTTGGGTTTCTCCAGTTCATTGCGTCCATAAAAAGGGTGGAATGACTGTTGTTAAAAATGAAAAGGATGAATTGATCCCTACTAGAACTATAACTGGTAATAGAATGTATATTGATTATAGAAAGCTAAATGCTGCATCTAGGAAAGATCATTTTCCTTTACCATTCATTGATCAAATGCTTGAACGGTTAGCTAATCACCCATACTATTGCTTTCTTGATGGATATAGTGGTTTCTTTTAAATACCAATTCACCCTAATGATCAAGAGAAAACTACTTTCACATGTTCTTAGGGAACTTTTGCTTATAAGAGAATGCCATTTGGTTTATGCAATGCTCCTGCAACATTTCAGAGGTGTATGACCTCTATATTTTAAGATTTAATCGAGGAGATGGTGGAGGTCTTCATGGACGATTTTTCGGTCTATGGCCCCTCTTTCTCCTCTTGTTTGTTGAATCTTGGCAGGGTATTGACCAGGTGCGAAGAGACGAATCTTGTTCTCAATTGGGAAAAGTGTCATTTCATGGTGAAGGAAGGCATAATGTTGGGCCACAAGATATCAGAGAAGGGTATAGAGGTTGACAAAGGAAAAATTGAAGTGATGATGCAGTTGCAGCCACCAAAAACGGTGAAGGACATCAGAAGTTTCCTTGGTAATGCTGGGTTCTGCAAGCGGGCTTTTGGTGGCCAATAATGTATAAGGACGCTCAGGAGTTCGTTTCAAAATGTGATTCATGGCAGAGAAAGGGAAACATCAGCAAAAGAAATGAGATGCCTCAAAACCCAATCTTGGAAGTGGAGATCTTTGACGTATGGGAATTGATTTTATGGGTCCATTCCCATCTTCATACGGTAACAAGTATTTACTGGTCGCCGTAGATTACGTTCAAAGTGGGTCAAAGCTATTGCTAGTCCTACCAACAATGCAAAAGTTGTGCTGAAGCTGTTCAAGACCATAATCTTCTGGAGATTTGGAGTTCCTAGGGTAGTAATCAGTGATGGTGGGAAGCATTTCATCAACAAAGTCTTTGAGAACCTCCTGAAGAAGCATGGAGTAAAGCACAAAGTCGCCACCCCTTATCATCCACAGACAAGCGGGCAGGTTGAGATCTCTAACAGGGAGATAAAAACAATTCTGGAAAAAACTGTTGGAATTACAAGGAAAGACTGGTCTGCAAAGCTTGATGATGCACTGTGGGCTTACAGGACAACTTTCAAGACACCCATTGGTACAACTCCTTTTAATCTCCTCTATGGAAAATCATGTCACCTACCTATTGAGCTCGAGTACAAAGCTATATGGGCGGTAAAACTCCTGAACTTTGACATAAAAACCGCTGAGGAAAAGCGGTTGATCCAACTCAGTGACCTTGATGAAATCCGTTTAGAAGCTTATGCGGGCTCTAAAATCTACAAGGAGAGAATTAAGCTTTTCCATGACAAGAAGATCATCACTAAGGATTTTCAGGTCTTTCCAGGAAAGCTTAACTCCAGATGGTCTGGCCCCTTCTTTGTCATTGAGGTCCGTCCTTATGGAGCAGTCACTCTAGCTGGTAAGAGTGGAGATTTCACAGTAAACGGTCAAAGGCTCAAGAAGTACTTAGCAGATCAAATCCTTCCAGAGGTGACGTCGGTTCACCTCAAGGAACTTCTTGATGATTAAAGGAGTAAAGGAGTCAAGCTATTGACTTTAAACAAGCTCACTAGGGAGGAAATTCTATAACTATCTCTGTAAATAAACTTTTACTTTCTTGTTATTTTTGATTTGTTTTAGTTGTGTTTTTGGTTTTCAGGAACAAAGGAACGATGTGGAGATAGAGTAAAAATTCAAAATTTTTACTCTATAGAAGACCTGGAAATCGAGTGTATAGCATGGTGGAGTGCAAAATTTTGAAATTTTTTTGTTGCATCTGGAGACCCTGAATTCGAGTACATAAGTCGAGTATATGTGATGTTTAAAACCCAAAAAAATTTAAATCATCATTATACTCGACCAACAGGAGCTACAAAGACTTGCATGGATTTTGTCAAGTTTACAGTAGATTTCCTTCTGTTTTCCCAGTCAACAGAGTGTGGACCACACGCTGAAGATAAGCTGGAGAGAGAATCTCAAACTCAATTTCCACCACTCCTTTTGAAATTTTACTCAACCAACCTCTATTCAATTTTCCATCACTCGACCGCAAGAAACAATTCTCTGAAACCTAAGCCGCACTCGACCTCGCTGAAACCAATCGACCGTCGTTGGAAAGAATTACTCAGCCGCCGCAGTCGAGTTCCAAGTTTCACTCGACCACCGGTTTCGTTTCACCGTGAATCACTCGACTGCTACGCCACCGACACTCCAATTTTTCTACTTCACCACAAATCGCCGCCTCTCACTCGACCACTTCACTTCACCGTCAAAGTCTCGGGAACTACTCGGTAACAACTATAGTACTCGACCGTCAACTTGTGGTTTCGTCTGTAGCACAGGGTATCCATGCTCGACCACACTTGCTCAATTTGGATTGTTGGAGGATGTTCAGCACCTGTACCAGAGTTGTCATCTGGACACTCTGATGGCTTATCCCTATGTAGCATATGAAGAAGAAACGATTCAGTTCCTCTCCACACTACAAGTGGAGCTTTACCAAGGTATGACCTCTGATGATTTGGAATGCGAAGGATTGGGATTCTTGAGATTCTCTGTGTATGGTCATGAGTATAGGTAATCAATCAAGCGCTTCGAAGGATTGTTTGGTTTCCCCAATAGAACGGGTACTAAGCCCAAGTATGATAGAGAAGAGTTGAAAGACTTATGGATTACCATTGGCAGCTCTGTACCGCTGAATTCTTCTAGGCCAAAGAGCAATATGATACGCAGCCCTGTCATCAGGTACTTCCAGCGTTCTACAGCCAATGTCCTCTACTCCTGAGAGATCACAGGGACTGTTACCAATTCTAATATCGAAATGATCGCTATGGCTCTCAAAGGCACTCTCCGCCAAACTAAGAACAAAATGTCTCTCCACGGTGAAATCAATGTACTTCTTCTGATCCACCTGTGTGGATACAAGAGCTGGGCTGTCAGCAATAACCATAAGAGAATACGAGGCGCTCTTTGCATTGGCGGTGTTGTGACACCGATTCTGATCGCTTGTGGAGTCCCAATCACATGTGATGGACTCGAGCCACGGGCAATGGATATCGAGCATCTACGTCACTGCGAATTCGTGGAGTTCGCAATGGTTGGCGACATGCACCGTTTCAGGTTTGAGCACTCTACGGATAAGAGAGCTAGCATCCTTCTCCTCAGCCCAGAGGTTACACGCATAATAGAGGGAGATAACATTGATTTTAGGCCTGAGCTTAGAAACCTCTACTATGAGAACGCTCCGCCATTGGATGAGGATGATCTTATAGAAGAAGCAGCTGAGGATGGGATGGATGAAGACAGAGCAGTGGAGTTTGACACTAGCATGTATCATTTTAGTGAACATGTACCTCCAGCGAGGGAGAGCAAGAGCTTTTGTATGTTCTCCGACGATGCAATCATAGCAATCAATGTGAGACCTAAGCAAGTTCACGTGAAGGGCTCACCCAATGATTACCTCCGCTTTGGTGGATAAGATACAAGTGATCCACATCTGTTACTAAAAAAGTCCTAGTGGTCATTTCATCGAGTTGAATCAATGAACTCCCATCCGAGGCCAACTTAACAGTTTTTCCCCTTGCAGCTTTTACTCTCTGCAGCCTCATGGTTTCCTCCTCATCTTCATCAGACTCATGCAACATGCTAGTATCTTCAGCTACCCACTGGTCAGTAACATTAAGTATAGAATCATCATTAGTCTTGGGACAGCAGTATCACCGTCAGCTTTTTTCCTTGGCTTTCTCATGTGATTTTGGCATTTTTATTGTCAACTTTGGAGGCACCTTTCTAGGCACCTTTGTAGGAGCCTTTGTAGTAGCCTTTCTTCCTCTTTTATTTCTGGCGGCTAGCTCTTTCACGATTAGCCCTTTTAAGGTTTTCTCCTTAACTTTAGCTTTCTTCTTTGGTGATGTCTTCGCTTTGGTATTTCTCCTCGCCGGCGTCGTAGAGCGTAAACAGCGGGAACCAGGAGACTTCTCAATGAAATCAATATCAACATTTTCTCCATCAGTGGTCTTAGCAAATTCGTCATCAAGATTCCTACTAACCTCAACCTCAGCAATATCAACATCCTTCTCTACCACCGAATCTACAACTTCTTTCTATTGCATAAACGTAAAGAAAACTCAGGCATTAAATAACGAAAACTCAGGCCTATGTATAAATATAACTCAACCGTAACTAAATAAAAAGTTATACCTCAGCCGTATAATATGAAGATAACTCAGCTGTAACTAAAAAAAAGTTATAACTCAACCGTATAATATGAAGATAACTCAGCCATAACTAAATAAAAAGTAATAACTCAGCCATTAGCTTACCGGAGGACGACTAGTAACAGATTGGTTATTTGTAGATTTCCGTGGAACTTTTGGTGTCTATTGAGTTTGGGGTTTAGGGTGGCCTTGCTCCTCTTGGGTTAAAAACATTTCTCTAATAACCACTCTAGAGTTTAATGTTGAGTCAGCTATGCCAATTTGGCCAATTAGGCCTACCCCAATGACCTTCAGATGCTCTTTCATCTGTTTGACCTCATTCTCAATAGATCCAAACCTTCTTTCAAACTTTGCATCAATCCTCTCTTCTACTTGATCTCCAATCACCTCCCGACGGGAGGACATTTCTTTGATGCTTTTATCAACGGTGTCAAACCTTGAGTTTAAGGGAGATATTAAGTTGGACACCATATCCACGAACGACACATCTCCCTGAACATCATGCTTGTCCTCGTCCTCATCAGATTCGACAGCTACTTCCTTATTATTCTTCTTCTTTTTCTTTTTTGCATCTCCTCCACCAGCTTGAACACCCTCACTGTGAGAGACTTTCTGCTTCTTTGCAGGAGATTGAGACACATCCGCTGCTTTATCTTTAACCGGTTTCTTCTTCTTCTCATTCGTCTTCACATCCCAATAACCTTTAACAAGCTTATCCCCATGTATGCCTTCGATCAAGTGATCGAGTGCTGGGTCTTCTACTTCGTCTGGCCAAGTATGAAACAACTCGCTTACATCATCCTTCATAACCATTTTATGCACACGCAACTACAACACAAGAGATAATAAAACCCATCAGTATGTTTAACTCAGCCATACTATAACTCATTCGTCACAGAACATAACTCAGCCATCACCTAACATATTTGACAAAAACAGAACATAACTCAGCCATTACAGAACAGAACTCAGCCATCACAGAACATAATTCAGCCGTCACATAACATTTGACAAAAAACAAAACAGAACTCAGCCATCACAGAACATAACTCAGCCGTTACATAACATATTTGACTAAAAACAAAACATAACTCAGCCATCACAGATCATAACTCAGACGTCACATAACATATTTGACAAAAAACAGAACATTAACTCAGTCATAAGAGAGCATAACTCAGTCGTAACATAAATATTTGATAAAAAAAAAGAACATAACTCAGCCATAACAGAACATAACTCAGTCAATAACTATCATAACAGAGCCAAAACCTTACCTCACCACCATGCGTTTTGATATCTTCAGCAATGGCCGATTCTATTGTTGCACGGGTACGGTTGCCACCCCATCTAAGCAACGGAATCTCATCCGCTTTGACTACGTTCCCAAATCGCTCACCAATGGTGATGATTGAATCATACGCCCAAGCCTGCAACACGAAAGCCATACCACTGATGGTGTACGTCTTGCCAATAGGCCTCAACAACTTTATAGAAATAACAAGGGCTTCAAATGTTGTCCGACCCCATGGATAAGTGTTCAAGACTTCGTCATCAAAAACTCTTTTGGCACTCTCAAATGGTATCCTAGAGTTAGGATGCAAGCCATAAAGTCCAATGGCTAGAAGAGTCAATAACCCAAACAATTTACGCTTTCCAGGAGGCCATACTCTCTTCCTATTACTAAGCCTCGCCTAAGTTCTTCTAACTTAGGACCTTTACCGGTTGGTACATGATATAGGTCAAATTAATCCTAAGACCACTCTCTCAAATAAAGAAGTCAGTTACAGCACTTTGGGATCGAATTCACAAAGTTCTCGAATCACGCAATAAACTAAGGTTTTGAATTAAGCTAAGTAAAACAGTAATGAAATTAAAGAGAAACAAAAGTAAACAACAGCAATCGATTGGATGGTTGTGAAACAAGATTATAAAAGCGTCAAACTTAGGGTATTCTCAGGAAATAGATGATAGTAGATCTAGAAATAGCTAAGTTGTTATCGAACCGTTCTCGAACTCAAACTATGATTTTAGAGTAACCGGTGGCGTTCCGCAAAACTCCCTATACCTATAGCTAAGAATAACCAGAGAAGCCGAGAGAACTTTAACTTAAACATGCATTATTATCAAGTTTGATTAGTTCACCTAGTATCTAAACCAGAGCCCTTCTATGAGCCTACCTGTTCTTTCTTAAATGCCTAGGCTCATCTATGATGGATCAAATAGCAAGTACCTATGGTGGGCATACTTATTATCTAAGAACAAGTTCTAGTTAGCTACTCTAAAACTAGCATTAAGAACAATCAAGATGAAGAATTTCTACAGATAACCTAGCAAGGGGGCAATCTACTAAATCATCTATAACCCTAATGAGAAACCCTAAACCTAACAGGAAAACTACTCAAGCATGATGAATGAAGTAAACAACATGATTAGAATAGAAATCAATGAATAAAACAAGAAGAAAATAGAGTAAGAAAGATCCAAAGGGAGTTTCCACAAGGTTTTGCTCCCCAAGTACAAAAGAGATAGAAAATAGCCTCTCCAAGCTTCGGGTCTAAACATTTACCTAAAAACTATATATATGTCTTAAAAACGTGATGGGCCTTAATTAAACATAAGAGAAAGTTCTGGACCAAATTTGGAAATCTTCAAAACATCCATAAGTTGCGTCTCAAAATTGCCGCCAGGTATTGGTGTCGCTCGACATCAGGGGTGGTGTCGTTCGACACCTACGTGCATTTTCGTCTCCGGATTGCTTATGCAGCTTAAGTTTTCTGTTGATCTCCAGAATGCTCCATAATCTCCAAATGCATCCCAAACATGTAAAGACCTGAAAAGAACTAGAAAAGGCTCTAGAAATAACAATTAGGCTCCAAAACTTATACCTAAATAATAGCTAAAATCGGTAAAAATAGGGTTATATCAACTCCCCCAAACTTAGCTTTTGCTTGCCCTCAAGCAAAACACTAAAGCCGAACCCGTGGAAGAGGTTTTAAAACAAAGGAACTCCCAACATTCTCTAGTGTATTGCCATGATCATTCTAACAAAATCTATATGCCCATCAGTTCTAATCAAATTCTAACCAACATGTACTTCTCTGCAAGCTTACACAACATTCTCTATTCCATACCTAAGTTCCACAACTATATCCAACAGGCTTTCATCACTGGGTCTCATCAAACAAGCTAACATTCAAGATCCTTCTAGACTCATTCATGTACTATACCATGATCAATCGACCATTCTTTTATCATTTTTTTCTTTGGTGTTCTTTCTCTCCCCCAGACTTATTTTGTTTTTCGAGAGTAAACAAAGGGGAACTCGCATATTGGATCCACACCCTCGGCATTTTTCCAACCTTTGTAATTGATCATTCCAAATAATATATAATAATGGGGTCATAGGAAATATTCCTATCCCTAGAAACTATCTGAAAATTGTCTCAATCTCTCATTATATTTTTTTCTTTTTATAAGAGGAGATGAACATATTCTTTTTATCACATTGGTCTCAATATAAGGTATGAACAAGGAGTCAAGATCTATGAATACTAACTGTTTGAAGAGGTAAAAGGAAGAGCAGTGAGATTAGCTCCAGCCTTAGTGGTTGAATTGGAAACTAGGATATCCTCAAGTCTGTTGGTTTGCCATCTAGTTTTCCAATAGTCGGATTGAGTCGAACCTCATCATTAATCAACCAAGCAATAATCTAAAGAATAGAGATCATAATTCCAAACAAAATTTTGACTCAATAAAACGACTCAAAAATAAGAAAAAGAAGAGTAAGAATAAGACTCAAAAAGAAAAACATAGTTAGTAACTGCCTCCCCCAGACTTAAACGACACTGTCCCCAGTGGTATTCAAATCCAGAGTAAGCAAAAAAAATAAAAGAAAAACGAAAAATAAAAGAAAAAGAAAAAGAAAACCATATCAGTGGGTTGCCTCCCACTAAGCGCTTGTTTAGAGTCAATAGCTTGACTTTGATGGAGTTTGGGGATCAGGTGGATCAGATGGAGGAAGAAAATACTTCCTAGTAGAACCCCGCATCATCTAAGGTAGCGTATAGGCAGTTGGTGTGTGCGCTCTACCAAGGAAGTAAGGAATGTCAGCAGGGTAAAACAGAGGTATGGGTGGTCTACTCCACTTTCCTGCACAATCATCAAAAGAAAGAACAAGCACTCGACGAGAAACTCGTGGCTTGCTTAACCGTAAAACAGTTTTTGGAGATTTGAAACTCTTATTGATGAAACCAGGAGGTTTAGGAGGAGGAGATGAGTACCTTTGTCGTTTCGGAGGTGCAGCAAAGGGTAGAGGTGCAGTGGGAGACGTGACTGTAGTGCCTGGAGTACCGGCTCTGAACTCAAACCGAAAACTAGCTCTAATAAAAAACTCTTGCTTAGCCTGTGTGGGGTGTCGATCGACACAGGTAATGGTATCGATCGACACCATCTCTGCACATCGATTCTCAGCAACGAATCTGGA